TAACATACTAGGGTCATTAATTGTATCTTACACAGATAATCTATTACTCAATAAATGTCCTGTCATTGAACAAGATTACTGAGAAGCATAAGCATATGAATATGATCATTAGTCATGACCCTGTAACCCTACTATCTATTTTCACTTATAAATGTTAATCGGTATCCCCTGAAGGTACCCAAAGGGCTCTAAATACTTGACTGTAATAAAATTTAATAATTAGCTCTCTTATAGTCAGGGAATTTGATTAATGATAGTTCTATTTTATTTAGAAGAACGAATAACATAAGTTAACTTTCTTTAAGATTATCATGATTTACGTAATCTAAATATTTTCTAGACATAAATATTTCTAGACACTACCATAAAACAAAAAGATTATGTGGATACAGGGATAAACTAACATAAGAAATTCATTGAACATGTTTTTATATCATGAAATCTGGGTGGGGTGTTGCTAGGAGATAGAGATAACATAAATGAAGAAAAGTAATTTATGCGTGAAAGATATTTGAGTATATCTGATGAACTGCTTAGATTGAGTTCAGTAGATGAGATCTTGTGAAACCAGTCATTTACTATGAAATGATTCCTCAGTCAATGTGAATTGCCCTCATTCTGAGATTTTTGTACAATGACTGTGTGCTGTGTTATCATATCTTAAGAATAAGAAGAGTTATTGTCAAGTCCATTATCTCAGCAGGGAATGTTTGTGATGATGAAACTGCCAAGCTTCATCAAGTTGTTCATGCTTTTCCCATGTTATTAACTTGACCCAATTCAGCCTCCCTCTGATGATAACTCATTCTGATTTTAACTCACTTGAAAAATGAGTCAATTTGATTTTTAAAGCCTTGTTGATTTAAACTTATTTTAGCACTTCCTTATATAAAATCTTGTATTTTAGAAAAAAAAAAAAGCAGAGACCAAAGAAAGAAATCCTCTCAGCTCAGCTATCTTATGAGGACAATATAAGAAAGTAGAAAACTGACGAATGTAAAAATTGCAGTAAGTCATTTTTCTTTCAACTAAATCAACTTTCTTCTATCATTAAAAATTGCTTAGCCATTGATTCTCAAATAATAATTCTGCTTTAATCCAAACTATTTTTAATCTGCCTACTTGCCTAGGCCTTGGCAGCATGCTATCATGTTTGGTACAAGTAAAAGTGGACAATATGATAAGCAAAGAGACAGACAGTCCTGAAAAACTGCCGGTTTTCCTAAAGCATGACTTACGTCATTTTATTTTTATAATATTGCTCTCTGCTAACATGTCCAGAAACTACCTGGTTCCACTCTCATTTTGCTTTCTCTAAGATTTACTCCAATGCCATTTGACACATACACAATGCTAGTGGCAATATCATGGTAACAATTTAGAGAAAAATTCTGAAATATAAAATTCTACCTGGAGGGAAAACACAAATTATATATATATGTATAATATACATACCGATAGTCTCTAAAAATTTTGTTTTTAAGTAGTTCACTTGAAATTCTGAATGAATGTAATAATAAAAACTATTACTGGTGGTTAAGTTTACAGGTAAGTCCCCAAATAGATGAATCATAACATGTATTTATTTTATTTTATTTATTTTTTTATTTATTTATTGAATCACTGTGGGAAAGGTTACAAAGCTTTCAGGTTTATGTCTCAGTCATGCAAATATCAAACACATTTCCCTTTACCAATACTTATTTTTTCCCATGAAGAACCCCAATAAAACCCCACCCCCCACCCCTCCCCGTCCCTGTGAGGCAGATGAATTCTAGTTAACACTCTATCCGCTTTGATTAGATTGTTTCAATAAAAGATTCACCACTATTATTTAGAGTTTACCCCCCCCCCCCAAATCAGACATGCTGAAAAAGCATTGTGAAGTGATTTGCTTTCTACAGCTGGGTTCAAGAATTAAATGTTGGTTTTGGATTTCTGCTATTTTACCTATTGACCCTGGAAGTATTTCTACTGAAAGTCAGATAGTTAAGAAATTGGTTTCTGTGTTCTGGAGTCGTGGCCGTGCTGGAGAGCCGCTCGTGGGGGGCAACTGGTGGCCTCGGTAGGGCGTGAAGGGCGGAGCGAAACGCCCCCCTTCCCATGAGGTTTTAGTCGCCCCCACACTCCCGGCTCATACCTGCTGTCCACAAGGTTCCCATGTGGCCGCCATCTTTCTTTCCAGAGAGGAGAGGGCGAATGGGGCAACACCCTTTCCCTTCCGGCAGACTTGATGGGCTGGATCAACGCATAGTCCGTTCACTTTTCTGCTCCAAGCTGCTGGGTTCTGCATTAAGTCCTTGTGCTTCTGGGGCCATGGCCGTGCTGGAGAGCCGCTCGCGGGGGGCGACTGGTGACCTCGGTAGGGCGTGAAGGACGGACCAGAACGCCCCCCGACCCATGAGGTTTTAGTCGCCCCCACTCCCCCGGCTCATACCTGCTGTCCACAAGGCTCCCATGTGGCCGCCATCTTTCTTTCCAGAGAGGAGAGGGCGAATGGGGCAACACCCTTTCCCTTCCGGCAGACTTGATGGCCTGGATCAATGCATAGTCCGTTCACTTTTCTGCTCCAAGCTGCTGGGTTCTGCATTAAGTCCTTGTGCTTCTGGGGCCGTGGATGTGCTGGAGAGCCGCTCGTGGGGGGTGACTGGTGACCTCGGTAGGGCGTGAAGGACGGACCGGAACGCCCCCCTTCCCATGAGGTTTTAGTCGCCCCCACACCCCCGGCTCATACCTGCTGTCCACAAGGCTCCCATGCGGCCGCCATCCTTCTTTCCAGAGAAGAGAGGGCGAATGGGGCAACACCCTTTCCCCTCCGGCAGACTTGATGGCCTGGATTAACGCATAGTCCTTTCACTTTTCTGCTCTAAGCTGCTGGGTTCTGCATTAAGTCCTTGTGTTTCTGGGGCTGTGGCCGTGCTCCAAACTTAACTCTGACTTTCAGGGAGAAAGATTGGGTGGTTTACTTCTCATTGATCACTTTGTATATAGAGAGATGTCGCGCGGCCGCATAAGCGGCCGCGCGGTTTTGAGAAAAAGTCCTCGTTCCCGCATACTCGAGCTGTGTTTGTAGAGGCTTCTGGTCACCGGGGTTCCATCTGGGGGAGGCGGGATGCGGCACCTACTCCATCTGGAACTTGCGGGTGAACTTGGCTCTTTTTGGAACCTGTTTTTTCTTTTTTCGTTTCCTCCGGGATCCCGCACCCTCCATGTGTTCTTTCTCTTATGCTTAAGGCTTCAAAGATGGCGCTGGGGGGCGGGCTGTGGGCATGACTTCCGGAATCAGAGGTTACCTGGGAGGTGTAGTCCGGCAGATTTGAGAAAAAGTCCTCGTTCCCGCATACTCGAGCTGTGTTTGTAGAGGCTTCTGGTCACCGGGGTTCCATCTGGGGGAGGCGGGATGCGGCACCTACTCCATCTGGAACTTGCGGGTGAACTTGGCTCTTTTTGGAACCTGTTTTTTCTTTTTTCTTTTCCTCCGGGATCCCGCACCCTCCATGTGTTCTTTCTCTTATGCTTAAGGCTTCAAAGATGGCGCTGGGGGGCGGGCTGTGGGCATGACTTCCGGAATCAGAGGTTACCTGGGAGGTGTAGTCCGGCAGATTTGAGAAAAAGTCCTCGTTCCCGCATACTCGAGCTGTGTTTGTAGAGGCTTCTGGTCACCGGGGTTCCATCTGGGGGAGGCGGGATGCGGCACCTACTCCATCTGGAACTTGCGGGTGAACTTGGCTCTTTTTGGAACCTGTTTTTTCTTTTTTCTTTTCCTCCGGGATCCCGCACCCTCCATGTGTTCTTTCTCTTATGCTTAAGGCTTCAAAGATGGCGCTGGGGGGCGGGCTGTGGGCATGACTTCCGGAATCAGAGGTTACCTGGGAGGTGTAGTCCGGCAGATTTGAGAAAAAGTCCTCGTTCCCGCATACTCGAGCTGTGTTTGTAGAGGCTTCTGGTCACCGGGGTTCCATCTGGGGGAGGCGGGATGCGGCACCTACTCCATCTGGAACTTGCGGGTGAACTTGGCTCTTTTTGGAACCTGTTTTTTCTTTTTTCTTTTCCTCCGGGATCCCGCACCCTCCATGTGTTCTTTCTCTTATCAACATGTATTTATTTTAAAAGCAAAAGAAACTCGAAGCCTTGTAGTGCTAATGAATGGATTGAAAATTAATATTTTTATGTATTTTTAATATATATGCTGAAAGACAATTCAGGTTAATGAAAGCTAAATGATGGCAGATATGTCAAAGTTATAAGAGAGCATGTAGAAATATAAAATCAGAAGCATAGCACATTAATATTAAAGAAAAACTCAAATGTTTAATTATTTAAAGTGAGACACTGAGGTTCTCTCTCAATAGTCTTGGTGTCATTACATTCTTGCACAAATTTAAGTATTATGGTATTTTCAGCTGTACCATATTGAATTATTGCTATTTTGAGAATAACTATGACTGTGAAATATATGCATCACTGAAGAAAAATTTTGCCTGCTTACTAAGCACCAGTGCCAATGGCTTATATAATGGTCCTTATAAATTCTGCTATATTTTAAGCATGTTACTGCCTCTTCACACTTCATGTGTTTTGTGTTGTCTCTGTTAGTCTGTGTTTAATATTTCTGACCATAAGCTTAACAAGTATTTCAATCCTCTTCAAGATAAAAAGCTCCATTTGTGTGTATCAACTCTTTTGTAGAGTTGACAGTGAGTAGGTAGAGATTTTGTTTTACCTCTAATCATGAAGTTCACTGCTCATGGTATCACTCATGCTTTGTTCTTCTCAGCTGCTAAATCTCTCAGATATCTAACCATGGGTATTCAGTATCCACTGTGTTCATGACTATGAGAATTTGTTAATAGAAGAGCTTATCAGCACTAAAAAGTGAACTTCTTTCTGATATTATCTCCATCTAATTAATTCTCCTGTGCTCTGATATGCCCAATGGATTGATTCTGTGCTATGATCTGATTATTCTCCATCATTGTATAACTGAAAGTAAACCTATCATGCACATGTGGTTCACCAAGTTCTCCCGCGTCAAGTTCTCGCCCTCCCTCACGCTGTTTGGCGGGAAGCCCATGGAGGGCTGGATCGAGGTGACGGTCAGTGGGCTGGTCACCGTGTCCCTGCTGAAGCCCAGCGGGCAGGTGCTGACGTCCACCGAGAGCCTGTGCCGGCTGCGGGGCCGCGTGGCCCTGGCCGACATTGCCTTCACGGGCGGCGGCAACATCGTGGTGGCCACGGCGGACGGCAGCAGCGCGTCCCCTGTGCAGTTCTACAAGGTGTGCGTGAGCGTGGTCAGCGAGAAGTGCCGCATCGACACTGAGATCCTGCCCTCGCTCTTCATGCGCTGCACCACGGACCTCAACCGCAAGGACAAGTTTCCCGCCATCACCCACCTCAAGTTCCTAGCCCGGGACATGTCGGAGCAGGTTCTCCTGTGCGCCTCCAGTCAGACGAGCAGCATCGTGGAGTGCTGGTCCCTGCAGAAGGAGGGGCTCCCGGTGAACAACATCTTCCAGCAGATCTCCCCTGTGGTTGGTGAGAAGCAGCCCATGATTCTCAAATGGCGGATCCTGTTGGCCACCAATGACCTGGAACGCGTGTCCACCGTGGCACTGCCCAAGCTGCCAATCTCGCTCACCAACACGGACCTGAAGGTGGCCAACGACACCCAGTTCTTCCCCGGCCTCGGGCTGGCCCTGGCCTTCCACGACGGCAGCGTCCATATCGTGCACTGGCTCTCGCTGCAGTCCATGGCCGTCTTCTACAGCTCGGCCGCCCCGCGCCCCTTGGACGAGCCCACCCTCAAGCGCCCGCGCACCACGGGGCCCGCCGTGCACTTCAAGGCCATGCAGCTCTCCTGGACCTCCCTGGCCCTCGTGGGCATTGACAATCATGGCAAGCTCAGTATGCTGCGAATCTCGCCTTCCATGGGCCACGCACTGGACGTGAGCCTGGAGCTGCGGCACCTGCTCTTCCTGCTGGAGTATTGCATGGTGACGGGCTACAACTGGTGGGACATCCTGTTACACGTGCAGCCTGGCATGGTGCAGAGCCTGGTGGAGCGGCTGCACGAGGAGTACACGCGCCAGAACGCCGCACTGCAGCAGGTCCTGTCCACCCGCATCCTGGCCATGAAGGCCTCCCTGTGCAAGCTGTCACCCTGCACGGTGACGCGCGTGTGCGACTACCACGCCAAGCTCTTCCTCATCGCCATCAGCTCCATGCTCAAGTCGCTGCTGCGCCCGCATTTCCTCAACACGCCCGACAAGAGCCCCGGGGACCGCCTCACCGAGATCTGCTCCAAGATCACGGACGTCGACATCGACAAGGTCATGATCAACCTGAAGACGGAGGAGTTCGTGCTGGACATGAACACGCTGCAGGCGCTGCAGCAGCTGCTGCAGTGGGTGGGCGACATCGTGCTCTACCTGCTGGCCAGCTTGCCCAATCAGGGCTCCCCGCTGCAGCCTGGTCACAGCTTCCTGCGCGATGGCACCTCGCTGGGCATGTTGCGGGAGCTCATGGTTGTCATCCGCATGTGGGGGCTCCTGAAGCCCAGCTGCCTGCCCGTGTACACAGCCACCTCTGACACTCAGGACAGCATGTCCCTGCTCTTCCGCCTGCTCACCAAGCTCTGGATCTGCTGCCGTGACGAGGGCCCCAGCAGCGAGCCCGATGAAGCACTTCTGGATGAGTGTTGCCTGTTGCCTAGCCAGCTGCTCATCCCCAACCTGGACTGGCTGCCCGTCAGCGATGGCCTGGTCAGCCGTCTGCAGCCCAAGCAGCCCCTGCGGCTGCAGTTTGGCCGGGCGCCCGCTCTGCCCCGCGGTGCGGCTGCCCTGCAGCTGGAAGGCCTGGTCAGGGCTCCGGGCCAGCCCAAGATCGACCACCTGCGGCGGCTGCACCTGGGGGCTCACCCCACAGAGGAGTGCAAGGCGTGTACCAGGTGTGGCTGTGTCACCATGCTCCACTCCCCCAACAAGGCGACGGCGGTCAAGCAGTGGGAACAGCGCTGGATCAAGAACTGCCTGTGTGGGGGGCTGTGGCGGCGCCTGCCCCTCAGCTGCCCCTGACCCGGGCGCTGGGCGTGGCTCTGCCCCGATGCGGACCCCCCGGGTCTGTTCGACAGCTCCACTCCCAGCCCCGGACCCAGCGGGGTCTGGTGTCCGCCCCTCTATTTTATTATATTTTGATATTTGGGAATTGGGGAGGGCACACCTGATGTTGCTGGGGGCTGATTCCTGACTCTGTGCTCGGGATCACTGTTGGGGCTCGGGGTCCCACAAGGGGGGCTGTGGACCAAACCCCCGTCAGCCACGTGCGAGGCGAGCTCCCTCCCCACTGTGCGGTCAGTCCCAGCTCCATCCCAGGGCCCAATAAAGACCAGGGTCCCTGGAAAAAAAAACTGACTAAAGTATTCAATATAGATCTAAATTATTCTTCTCTAAGACAGAGCCTGGCAAGATACTTGTGACATATTCAATATGCCAAAAACAGTAACAATAAAAGGTCTCATCAACGGTCAAAATCCAGAGACTAGCAGATGCAGAATCTCCTGCCCCTGCTCCAGGCTGTCTTCATCAGGGACCCTCAGAGGAGGGGGGCTGGTTGAGTCTCCCTCCCCACCCCAAGCAGAGAGCCAGCAGCCGGAAACCTCCAGAGCCCAACCACAGCTATGCTCAAGGCCACGCTCCACATGCTAGAACGAGCCTCACCCATGAAGGAACCAACAGAGGAACCCAGGTATGTGGGACCTATGACTGGGATCTCCACGCCTGCTTGGATCGGGACTGGGCCTCCTCCAACTAGGTCCCCCATTTTCCAGTACGTTGGAAGCCACACTCACAAACTGCCCCTGGCACCATGTAAATCTCATCAATGGCCAAGATCCAGAGACTATAAAATAAAGCCTCCGTCCCTCTCAGAGATCCCGGCAAGCTATCAAGGTTATCCTGCCCATACATCAGAGCCTGGCAAGCTACCTGTATGGTATTCAATATGCCAAAAACAGTAACAATAACGGGTCTCATTCCCATGGCCCTGAAAGAGTCCCCAATACTGCAGCATTGGGAAGGATGAATACAAAAATGACAAGGATGACTGGAGACGTTACTTGCACCCGATTGAGCAAATCGATGAACAACGGGATGACAAGTGATACAACTGAAGTGATGGGGTAATCTCTAAAAAATGCCATCAAAATAGTAACTAATTTAAAATGTATTTTTTATTCCTGGAGCACCTTAGTGTATATTATAGTCTGAGATATACTATCTCTGCATATCATTTTATTCTTGATACCTCATCTTACATGTTTTTTATCGGGGGCCAGAAAGATAGTGCAGCAGGTGGGGTGTGTACCTTGAAGCAACTAACACAGGCTCAATTTCCATATGGGCCACTCAAGCCCTGCCAAGAGTCATCCCTGAGATCAGGACCGGGAGTAAGCCCTGAACCTAGTTAGATGTGGTGCCCAAACAACAACAACAGAATAATGCTTTTCTTATTTGGGGAGGTAGTTTCCAGAAGTACTCAGGAACCCTGGAGTCATCGGCAATGATGCCCAGCCAACCAAGCTAAACGGTTCATAGCTAAGGCCCAGTGGTACTTGGAGCCATCGAGACCACCCTGGCAGTACTTCGGAGTCATCAGAACTCAATCACAAACCACTGGAGGCCTAATAATGCCATGTCTAATAGTTTCATGTCTGAAACTCTAGGCTTTGTGCCTCTGACCTGTGAGTTCTCTTCCTTTTCTGTGACACTTACTTCTGAAGCATTCTTGATTCTATCATATTTTTTTAAGTTTGTCACCATCTAACCTTATGGATATCACCAAGTAATTAACTAATTTATATTGCCAATGACTTAGTAGCTGTGAACTACTGACTAATTGAAAGTAGAGGTAGTTGAAAGCACATGAAATCTAAAATTTGATTTTGAAATATTTTATATAAAATTTTCTAGAAATAATGGCTAGTGCGATGAAATTTAGAGATGGGGCCTTTGTGAGGCAATAAAATCATGATTGGATACATGTCCATAGAAGATATACTGAAAAGTTTGCTTCCTATTGCTGGCTCTTGGTTATCTCAGGACACAAAAAGTCCATTTGCGAGGCCAAATCTTGCACTTCCTAGATTCCTAGTCTTTGGAAGTGAGAAACAAATATATATACATTATTCTAGTCTATAAGAATTTATTACAGTTGACAGAAATTATTAAGGAATGCTCATTAAATATGATCTTATTAGCATTTGACTGTTCTCTGAGTCTGACATATGCCTGTTGTGATTTTCATTTCTATGCTAAGGATCTACTTTTTTTTAAATAACATATTGAAGTGAAGACATTTGAGAAAAGGATGCTAAGTGGGAATAGTTTAAATCCCTTGGAATTGGAGATACAATTTTTTCCTTAGTAATAATCAAGCATAACCTCGATCATTCAGTATTCTGATACAGTTATAATTTTCGAATAATTATTAGCTTATAATGACTTACTTTTAAGACAGTGTTCAATTCCCAGCACCTAAATGTTTTCCTGAGCTTGACTAGGAGGGATCACTAAATGCAGGGTCAGGAGTAAGCTCTGAGCATATATTAAAACAGGAAAAATGCGTATTTATACCCATTTGGTAAATCCAATAAACATTAAATGAGATGATTTTACATTGCAATTCAAGGGAGAATTTCTGCAGAATGCACACACACATAATTGTTTATGGACATATTATATATAAACTGCAGAAGTCAATTTTGAAACATTTACCAGTACCTAATTAAACTATTATTGTTTGATGTGTATTCATAAGACAAATAAGAGGCCCAGAGCTCTCTCTTCCCTCCTGCATTCGGTGGACTCAGTCTACTTCCCACCTGGGACAGTTGATACCAAGGGCAGACAAAGGAGGAAATGAGGGCCAGGCTGGTTGCTATCAATTGCAGTTTGTTCTAATCATTTCTCCATTCTCCTCTGACTCTCCTTCCCCAAATCTCTTTTCCTCTACATTCTTCCCCCTACATTCTTCTCCTATCTCCCTTGCTATTCTCTCCAAGCTCCAACTCATAGTTCTGGTCTCTCTAGTCTCTCACACCCTCCAAAACTTTGGTAATAGCAACCACAACGCAGGTCCTGTAGCACAATCAACATATCAAAGCCCGCCCTGATCTCCTACAGCCAAGAGAACCTCTCAAAATACAAAATACCACCTAGGGGTTTTTATCCTTTCCTTAGTCCAATAACCATTTAAACATTCATCTTAATTCTACTTCTTAATATCAGACATTTTGTATGGACACAGTAAGAGGTGTTTTAAGCTTATAGGATGGCTATCCCGAGGGCATCTCACTATAGATCTCAGACTATAGTGCTCAGGCCAGATTAATCTTCCCTAACCCTAGCCAGGTCCTAATCCAGATTTTAGGATTTTGCATCATGACAGAATTTGTTCATGACATGCTCTTAATTTACAGTTAAGTTTTATGGCACTTTGGCCAGTCCCATTTTTGATGCCAGGATAGCTCACAGCTTACCCTGGGTCCACCCAGTTCCTTTTCCGGACCCTACTTTTGGGCCTCTAGGAAGTTAAGTGCAGCTGAGGCTTAAGTTGAGAAAACAGATGCACAGGAGTGAATATTTTCCGGAGTCAATTAACTTCTCAGGTTACAAAAGCATATCATTAACTATCTTCCTGTGTCTATGCAAAAAGTATATTGTTCTGAATTGAAAATGCAAAGGGCATAAGGAGAAGAGAAAACCAGTATTTACAAGTTAACAAAGTATGACTGATTAGGAGATAAAGGTGATTGACCAGTTGGGAAGCAGAGCACAAAGAAAGAGCTTACCAATAAACACAGAGGAATGGGAGTACCTCTGGAGCACTGTGATGGGTCTAACCCAATTAACCTAAGCTCCTGTGGCAAGGCAGAAAGGAAAAACCAACATTGTGCTACAGTTTGGGCAGAGATTACTCAAATTCTTTAGTCATTCTTATGCAAAGATCAACGGGAGTAATAGAAGGGCAGCTGGGAGGTAGATTGTGCATGCCAGGGTAGTGTGCTTGTTTTTATTCTTTCTGCGATGAAGAAGAATATGATTGACTGGTTCAGCACCTCCATGATTGTGTGAGCAACGTTGAGAGAGAGATAGCCACAAAAAAGATGCCTGTCTTTGAAAACTCTCGAGTTTATTTGGCAACTTGGCTTACCGCAAGCTTCGGGCAACCGCATGCCAACATCCAAGCTCACAAAACAGTGCAGAGAAGCAATAAAGGAAGACTTCAAAGAGAGAAGATCAGCAGTGCTGAGAGATGCAGCAGAAACCAGGAAAAACTTACACCTGTCCTTTGCCAACTACAAGACCAAGATGACTGCCCTCCAAAGTCCTGATGGATCTACCACATCTTCCAGAAGGGCAAAGGAGAAGATTATAATGACTTCTACTTGGATCTCTTCAATATCCACGTCCACCTGCCCACATACCAAATTTCACAGGATGGTTATGTCGTTCCCAATGTTCTCCCTTCCTAAATCCGACACACCATTTCATCAGTAAAGAAGCTAAGAGCATCCAGTCCTGACAAGGTCAACCAGAACACCTGAAGAATCTGTTGTCAGTACTCATCAATGCACTGGCTAGGCTCTTCACACACTACCTGTCTGAATGCAAGGTTTCATCCCAATGGAAAGCCAGCAGGACTGTTCTACTGTACAAGAAGGAAGACATCCACGACATTAGCAACTATCACCCGATCTGCCAATTATCTGTCATCTACAAGCTGTTCACTAGAATCATCCTGAATAGGCTTGGCAAAACACTAGATGAAGGAAAACCATGCGAGCAAGCCAGATTCCAAAAAGGATTCAGCACGATCGAACATATCCACATGATAACCAAGCTCATTGAGGTTTCTCAGGAGTTCGTGATGCCGCTCTGTCTAATGTTCATTGATATAAAGAAGGCCTTTGATTCTGTTGAGAATGAAGCAATCATCAAAGCCCTAGCCAAACAGGGCATTCAAACTCAATACATCAGGATCCTCCATGAGCTGTATTACGGATTCACTACCAGGATCTCACCAGGAAATGATCAT